AATATCTTCATTCTCCCAGTCTTCCTTACTGGAAATCCAAGAGTTTATTTGCTTCTTCAGAAATTAATCTCCAGCACCAAATTGGATAGTTCTTCCTGCTTTCAAAATCCTTCTAACATGTACCTTCTTTTACATTCAATACAATACAGCCTTAATTCTAATGCATATCACCCCAAGTCTAGTAAATTACAGCAGCCTCTTTCTGATCTCAGTCTCAGGTGCCCTTTCGAATCTGTTTTACACCATACCGATCTTCCCAAACTCTAACTTTCCTCTAAAATAGTGAGTCATGTCACAGAAATTTTCAGTGGTTCTCTTTACCTGCAGGGTAAATCTTGAGCCTCAGAGTCCGGAACACCTTGCTTTGCATCATCTGCTTTCAACATGACTAACTAATTATATCTCACTATCGTCCTCAACACCACTGTTCTGCAGCCCCAAGCCTTTCTTCAGCTTGTCACAATTTCTTACCTCCAAACCTTTACACTTGCAGAGATCAGGGACTATAGCATTTGTTTTTTGACTATCTCTTTCAATATTAACAAATACTTATATAATGAATAAACCACCAAGGAAAGAACTGATTGTGCCATAACATAAGATACAGGTATATAATTTCTGGCTTTTGCTTCCTGTTTTGTATATACTACGGTTATATTGATTTAAAATACAGCCAGTTAGAAAGATCTAATGCATGGAGGCTCTCGTTTTAATAGATTATCAAATTTCATTTCCTTGCATAATTGCTCACAAAATAAAGCGCTTCATTCCTAAGTCTCAAGCTAAAGCTTTCGAGGACCTTGGTTGCTTTCAAGATTTTCTCCTTCATAAATTTATTTCTTTATTTAGCCAGTTGTGCATTCAATCCACACAAAACTTTTCTCCAATGATAATTTGTGGAAAGAAATATTTTATGCTTAATTCTTCTCACTGTCATGCCTTCTCTTAAATTTGAGTTACGAAGATGGAAATTCACTTTGATCTCATTTTAAAATCTGGCAATATTGAGTGTACACTGGAAACTACCACTGGAGCTCTCCTTGTATAAGAAGGCAAAATTCTTCAGAGATTGGGAGTCTAGAATGAACTTTGATGCTGCATCGGCTCAGTCCCTATGAAACTAACATTCTTACTAGAGAAAGTGGCCTATGGCACGGTCATATTCCTTTACCATCTACATCTTCTCCTTGAGATTTCTTTCTCAGTATGTGAAAAGATTTCTGATCAGTGTCCACTCCCATATGGCATCCTCATCTTCTCCTCCCTACCCCAAAACACTCACATTTATCTCTAGATTGATTTATTTATGGAATGACCCATTCTAAATTTAGAAATAATGACATATGCCAAACATTTATTTGCATGCGTTTTCCCACAACCTTTCTCTGTGATCTTATGATATCACATTCTTCAAGACCAGGAATTGACCTTGCATTGGGCCATAAAATACATTGGGCCATAAAATACATTGAACAACTGAAGTTTCATAGATATGCACACTAGAATTGGTCTGCATTCAATAAACTCATTGAAAATAAAGAAATTAAAAAGCAAATTACTTATTAAGTATTTATAAAATACTTTTTTTCAACTTTAATCTTCAGGATAACAGTTAAGAGCAAGACCCAGACTGAATGAGTTTGAATCTGAGCTCTGCCAATTTACTAACTACTGAAGCTTAGGCAAGTTTTTTTTTTTTTTTATAACCTCTCATGCCTCAGTTTTCACATCAATGAAGTGGGGAGAATAATATTAACTCCTATTGCAGAGTTACTATAAAGATGAAATAACATAATTCATATTGTCATGCATGTATTGCTTAATAAATATTAGCCATTCTTGTATTGTATGTGGTACCCTGCACATTATAGACTATTGCGCTCCTGTTTTCCTTTTTTTTTTTTTTTTTGAGATGGAATCTTGTTCTGTCGCCCAGGCTGGAGTGCAGTGACATGATCTCGGTGCACTGCAACCTCCACCTCTCAGTGTCAAGCAATTCTCCTGCCTCAGCTTCCTGAGTGGCTGGGATTACAAATGCTCACCACCACACCCAGCTAGTTTTTGTATTTTTAGTAGAGACGGGGTTTCATCATGTTGGCCAGACTGGTCTCGAACTCCTGACCTCAAGTGATCCACCTGCCTCGGCCTCCCAAAGTGCTGGGATTACAGGTGTGAGTCACCATGCCTGGCCTATTCCTCTCCTTTTATTTACCATAATAGCAGCAAGAACAGTAGCTGGTGACATTTATTGAGCAATTACTACATGATAGAAACTAGGCTAAGTGCTTTACATGTATCATCTTATTTAATTCCCACAGAACTCTATAAGTTATATTACTGCCCACATTTTACTGATAAGGAAAGTTAAGAATAATTTACCCAGGGACATTGATTAGTCAAGGTTCTCCAGAGAAATAGAAGCAACAATATACATATGTATGTACGTATGTATATGTGTGTGTGTATATATATGTATGTATATGTGGATGTGGATATATAAAATCAAGTATTGTCTCATGCAGTTGGAAACTAAGAAGTCCCATGACCTGCTGTCTGCAAGTTAGAGAGCCAGGAAAATTGATAGTGTAATTACAGTCTCAGTCTGAAAGCCTAAGAACCAGGGGAGTTGATGATGTAAATCCCAGTCCAAGGGCAGGGGAAGACTGACATCCCAGCTCAAGCAGGCCTGCAGGGAAAAAAGGAACATGCCTTTTTGTTCTGTTTAGGACCTCAACTGATAGGATGATGCCCACCCACATTGCGGAGGGCAATCTACTGAATCCGCTGAACTAAATGCTAATCTTGTCTGCACAAGACACACCCAGACACACCCAGAAATAGTGGTTTACCTGGGCACCCCATAGTCCAGTCAACTTGACACAGAATTAACCATTACAGACCTGCAGTCAGTGCAGTCAGTGTGAGTAGGTATTCTTGTTTGTTCCGCATCTCTTCTCTTCTCTCTCTCTCTCTCTCTCTCTCTCTCTCTCTCTCTCTCACACACACACACACACACACACACACGTACCACATTTACTCATTTATCCGTTTGTTTGGTCAACTAGTCATTAAACAAATATTTGCTACCGTTTACTATGTGCAGGGTTCTGTGCCTCCTGCAGAAAGGGTTGGAGACATTCAAAGACAAAGGTAAACAAAAAATAGTCCCTGCTATCAAGAAGTTTACAATCTATTGCAAGAGACCTGTCCATATAATTCAAATGAATTGTATGATAGAAGTGCTTCAAGTATAAACCACATACTGTTAGAATGCTGAGGAAACCATTAATTCTAACCCTGGAGATGGGGAAGTAAGCATATAAACACTCACAGCATTGATCTGGGAGAGAAGTGGGGTAAGAGCATTGCCGAGAGAAGGAGCAGCATGAAGAAGCCACACACAAGAGTTACATTGGATGGAATAGTGCGGGATAGACAGGTAGTTTTGGTGGGCTTAGCAGGTAGAGTTTGGGAGCGCAGGGTCATAAGGTTGGGAAGGGAGGTTTCATATGTCCCTTATGCTTTTGTGTAGATAAAATAAAGCAAATCCTGCATTTTAGGGGAACTCCACTTGGTTATCCAAGTATTTGGGCCAAGCAAAAATGGGCAAGGCTAGGGAGAGTGAAAAAATGAGATTGTTCTGGATATACACTAGGCACTTAATTGATATTGGAAGGCCAGAGTTGGTTTGAGACCAGACTACCTGAGCCACTTTTCTGATGAGATTAACATCGATTTTTACCTCTTGGGAATTCTGCACACCACAAGAACTATCCCCTGAGTTCCGATTGCTCTGTGCAAGCTCTGATTGACCCCTAGTTTAGCATGGACTGTTCACAACCAAATCAAAATCCAGAGTTAGAGGGCTAGGATGCCTGGAGCCACCACTTATATTGGGTTGGCAAAATGCCAAATAACTAAGTATAGTATTTCACCCGTAAAATTATTCCTTCCCCCCCCCCCCAAGAATAGAATTCACTAAGTTGACAGCACACTGTGTCAATATATTATAGAAAAACCTAATAGGAAAAAAAGAATGGCGGTTTTCACTGCATGCCACCTAAAGGTATATTTCTCAATAATTTCCAAGACCACTGAAAACTGAAATCTGAAAATTAGTTTTATCTTACTATCCACCCTGTTTTATCCCAAATTTAAGCCTTGTCTGTACTTCTTTGATATTTAATTAATTTTTTTTTTTTTTTTTTTGAGATGGAGTTTCACTCTGTCGCCCAGGCTGGAGTGCAGTGGCACGATCTCTGCTCACTGCGGCCTCCCTCCTGCCTCAGCCTCCTGAGGAGCTGGGACTACAGGCGTGCACCACCACACCCGACTACTTTTTGTATTTGTAGTAGAGACGGGGTTTCACCATATTGGCCAGGCTGGTCTTGAACTTCTGACCTCAAGTGATCTGCCTGCCTTGGCCTCCCAAAGTGCTGGGATTACAGGCATGAGTCACTGTGCCCAGTCCCTAATTAAATATTAATCAACCATTGGTTAATTGCTAATTATCAATAATTAAATATCACTCAATGGTTTATTACCTATTCATCAATATTACTTCTTTAAAAATTTGTCAAAAACAATAGACTAAGACTTAAAGACAAGACATGTCATTTCTGAGATTCTGTAGTCACCTATACCAAATGGCACCCTCCCTAATGTTTCTGTGAAAGTAAAGATTTGTATTTTTTTATGGTACTAATTGAAGCAGTAGTTCATTTGTGGCTGCCAATGAGTTGACTGTAAAAAAAAAAAAAATCTTATTTTAACATTGTTGAGAGAGGAAATCCTTTGTGTTTGGCCTTGGATTGATAAAAACGAGTCTGGGATACTATATACGGTAAGTGGATATTAAAACTAGGGCTAGGGCTATGAATTGTTGCTTTAGTGTTGTCAGCCTTGGAGACTCAAAGTGTCTTATCAGAAAGGATACATTGTTTTAATTGTTCCTCATTATATAGAATGAGAGAACATCATTTCTCTCCTTTTCCTCCCAGGTGGCCGTGGAGGACCGAGTCAGGCAGCTGCATGAAGCTCACAGGGACTTTGGCCCAGCGTCTCAGCACTTTCTTTCCAGTAAGTCATTTTCAGCTTTTATCACTTAACTTTATTGCATCTTGATTAATAAGAATTAACAGTTGAAAAAACAAAAGAATTAAGAGTTGAATTATAATAATCTCTGTCAGATGTAGTAGAAGCATAAATCATCCTGAAATATAACTTGGTTGATAAATTTAGAAGGGTAGGAAGAAGAAGCCCAACTGGATCATTTTGCCCAGTCTTCAGCTAATGCATAATTGTTTCCTGCAATATATTCTCAAATGTTAACTTCATTAATATTTTTGAGTCTTTTTGAAAAGTATGGAACACTTTGCTCAGGAGCCATGCTAATATTCTCTGTATCATTCCAATGTTAGTATATGGGCTGCTGAAGCAAACACATACCTTTGAGTTTTTAATTTCTGCCTACCAGTTCAGTTCATAAAGCTAATAATTATGATATCATGTAATTATAATATGATCATTCAATATGTGTTACTGTGATTCTGTAATTCTTTATCTCTAAATAATTCATTAAATACTCCCTGCCTTATGAAATAAATGACAATTCTCAAAAGAAGGCATACAAATGGCCAACAGGTATATGAAAAAATGCTCAACATCACTAATCACCAGGGAAATGCAAATCAAGACCACATGATATATCATCTTACCCCAATTAGAATGGCTATTATTCAAAAGACAAAAAATAACAGATTCTGGTGAGAATGTGAAGAAAGGGAACTCTTTTACGGTGTTGGTGAAAATGTAACAGTAAATTAGTAACAGTATGAAGATTTCTCAAGAAACTATAAATAGAACTACCTTACCATCTGGCAATCCCACTACTGGTTATCTATCCCAAAGCTAAGAAATCAGTGTATCAAAAGGGTACCTGCACTTGTATGCTTATCGCAGCACTGTTTACAACAGCAAAGATGTGAAATCAACCTAAGTGTATATCAACAGATGAATGGATAAAGAATATGTGGTATCTATACACAATGAAACACTACAAGAATGAAACTACATCATTCACAGCAACATGGATGGGACTGGAGGTCACTATGTTAAGTGAAACAACCCCGGCACAGAAAGACAAAAATCGCATGTTCTTACTCTTGTGGAAGCTAAAAAAAAATTGATCTCATAAACATAGACTAGAATGATGGATACTAGTGGCTGGGAAAGGTGTGTGGGTAGAGGGGGAGATAAAGAGAGGTTGGTTAATGGGTACAAACATCCAGTTAGATAGAAGGAATAAGTTATATCATTTGACGGCAGAATAGAGTGACTATAGTTAACGACAATGTGTTGTATATTTCAAAGTATCAAGAAGAAAGGGCTTGAATTGTTCCCAATACATAGAAATGACAAATACTCAAGGTGATGGACGCCTCAAATACCCTGACTTGATCATTATGCATTCTATGCTAGTAAAATATCATGTTACCTCATAAATATGTAAAATTTTATGTACCAATAATAAATAAATAAATAAATACTTTGCCTCCAAATTTGAAACCTCAGCCTATGGGTATTTCCTTTCCCTAACTATTTGTATCCTTTTTTTTTTTTTTTTTTTTGAGGGGGAGCCTCATTCTGTCACCCAGGCTGCAGTACAGTGGTGTGCTCTTGGCTCACTGCAACCTCCGCCTCCCAGGTTCAAACAACTCTCCTGCCTCAGCCTCCTGAGTAGCTGGGACTACAGACGTACACCACCAGGCCCGGATAACTTTTGTATTTTTTAGTAGAGATAAGGCTTCACCATGTTGATCAGGCTGGTCTCGAGCTCCTGATCTCAAGTGATCCACTCACCTTGGCCTCCCAAAGTGCTGGGATTACATTCGTGAGCCTTGTATTCTCCTTTTGTCCTTGACCTCTAGTCATTCTTTTTATTTACTGGTTTTACCATTTTATTAATTATGTTTTTATAATTAATACTAAGAGAAATAACCTTAGTTAACTGAGAGTTTGAGTATTAAAGAATCATATTTATACAATAATGCATATTAAATTGGCAAGCACCTGTTTTCCTCTGATTAATATTAATTTATAACACTTTTTATTTGATTATAAAAGTATATGTGTTGAGTTTTTTGGTATTTAAAAAGCCATACTTTACCACATGGAGTTAACATCTATTAGCATTCTGATATATTTCCTTATGGTCATATGTGAGTATGTATGAGGGTTTATCCATCATTTTTAAGCAATTACTTTGTGCCTAGCAATGTTACAGATTTTAACTAGTTTAATCCTTATAGCAATCCCTTAAGGTAGGTACCATTATTATACCTATTTCAATGATGAAGAAACTGAGGCACACATTCATACAGCTAGTAGATGAGAGAGCCAGGATTCAAACCCAAGAAGTTGGCCCCAGAGTCTGTGTTTTTAAGCATCACACTGTAATTTTACTTAATTTATGTATTTTATAGAGAGGAGGTAATTCTGTATGATCTCCATTCTTCTGCCACATTCTTTCATTGCCATTTTCTGATCATTTCCTTTCTTTTCCATTCTCCATGGGTTAATAAAAAGATCCACGCTCACAAATACTTTAAAGTATTTGAGTAGATGCTGTCATGTGTGTCTTCAGTTGGCTGTTGTCTTTTGAACAAAATTTCCTGGAAGGTGTTGGTCCTGTGTTTTTGTCATACATTGATAATAGATTAAGAAGTATCTTATTTTCTGAACTGGCTCTAACTTTGTTATCCGCCTGCGGTCTAGTTATTTGGACACAGTTTCACAATGCTTTGGAGTTGCCAAGAAAAAGGGATAAGTTAAAGCAGTTTATCTAAAGGAGTGGGATCGTGGCTTTTAGGAACGGCTCTAGAAAAATGATAAAGGCTACAGATTTTGTCTTCTGCATCTTTCCAAATCTCTGGTCTACTTAACTTGCCTTGGTGACAGCCATTCTATTTGACTTAATTGAGATTAAATGTGATAACATACTCCTAAGCTACTCACAAACCATAAATTAAAAAATAGTACTATTATGAATATTAATTACTCCTCTGACACCAGGAATATTCGTTCATATTTTCTTCTCTCTGACTCCCCCTCTGACATATTTTCTTCTCTCTGACTCCCCCTCTGAATTCCCATTCATTCATATTTTCTCCTCTCTGACTCCCCCTCTGAATTCCCATGTCTTACCCATTAAAACCTGTTTTCAGAAAATGATATACTCATTTAACCCAGGTGATAGGTAAAGTTTAATGTGCACTTCTCCTGGGTTATTTGCATTTTATTAGTGTGAAAATCTGTAAGCCTGAGGTGGTAGAACATCAGCCGTAAGTTCTGAGCTGTGAGGAAGGAACTTTGAGGGGCCAAGGGGAACATTCTCACACCTTTCAAACCATATCACATCAGTGCCCACTTCCAGAAAGGTCAGGCCTGTTAGACACAGGCATTCATAAAGAGACTGATCTACCTGCGTGAATGGAGCCAGCCCCGGAAGTCATCAATCTCTTGGATGCCCATGTGGAATATCAATATATGCTTAAAAGCTTTGCTTGCAGGTATAAAGAAAATACCAACTTAGTTTAAGGGATATTTAAGAAATAGGACGGTGAGACTAAGGATGGATTGTTTCTTTACATTGTCCTTTTTAAAATTACAAAGGTACTCTATACACATCAAGAAAAATTTCGAAAGCACACAGTACAAACAACAAAAGAAAAAATATCCATAATCCAATGACTCAGAGATAATCACTATCATACATTTGGTTTATATGCTTTCTGTCTTTCTCTTGTGGGGGGTGTGTGTGTCAAGGTTCTATCTTTTTATTTTTTTATTTTTTAATTTATTTGTTTTTTGAGACAGAGTGCAATCTCGGCTCACTGCAACCTCCCCCTCCTGGGTTCTAGTGATTCCCATGACTCAGCCTCCCGAGTAGCTGGGATTACAGGAATACGCAACCACGCTCGGCTAGTTTTTTGTATTTTTAGTAGAAACGAGGTTTCACTATGTGGACCAGGCTGGTCTCTAACTTGTGGCCTCAAGTAATCCACCCACTGTGGCCTCCCAAAGTGTTGGGATTACAGGCATGAGCCACCACGCCCGACCTCTCTCTTTTCTTTCAAACCATGCACAGATAAAAACATGCTACCATTTTATGGCCTGCTATTTTCCCTTAAAACTATCTTTACAATATTTTCGTGTGTTTAAACATTCTTCTACAGAGTGATTTTTCTAATGACTGACTAATACTCTCTTCTGTGTCTATACCAAATTTACCAACACAATTCTAAATTGCTCAATATTAAGATTATTTCACAATTTTTATTATATCGAGCATTATGGCTAATATCCTTTTTATACCTGTACAAATATCTCAGATTCTTTCTACGGATAAATGCCTAAGGTGGAATTGTTGTGTTAAAGAATATTTACATTCATAAGCCTTTTCAAGTGTATTGCCAGACTTACCTGTGGAAAATTGCACCAGAAATGGGGTGTGCCATCCAAACCATATTTGAGCCAGGCATGATGTGGCTCATGCCTATAATCCCAATTCTTTGGGAAACTGAGGCAGGAGGATCACTTGAACCCAGGAGGTCAAGACTGCAGTGATCCATCATCACGCCCCTGCACTCCAATCTGGGTGACAGAGCAAGACCCTGACCCTAAATTTAAAAAAAAGATAAATCACCTTATTTTAAGCAGGACATCTCTGAAGTCACATATTTGCTACTGTAAAAGCAGCTTCCCCTACCAATGAATAAAAATATGTTTTAAATATTCCTCTAAGTTCATATTAAATGAATTTGAATTAATATTTTTTTTAGACAGGCCTGAGTTGATACATGTTTAGTAATGTGCTTTCAGGTTGTTGTGAATAATAATAGGGTGGTTTGTAAAGCTTGGAAATTACAAAGAAAAGGAAAATAAGGAGGAGCTACTAATTGCAACCCCCAACATAAACATGCTTACTGTCTCTGTTTATCTTATTCTCTCTCTCTCTCTCTCTCTCTCACACACACACACTCTGACACACACACACATACACACACACACACACACAC